TCCTCATGGAAATGAGATTCTGAATTTTATGTAGCTCTGGCTGGCCCGGAACTCACAGAGATCCACCAGCCTCTGCCTCCCCGGTGCTGGGATTAAAGATGTGCGCTACCACTGCCCGGCCTCAATTTCTTAATTGCAGATCAGTGCTGGAATTGTCAGAGTTGTAGAGCCCAGGACTAATTTTGGAAATCAAAATCTGGCTTATACAAGAGTAGCTAAAGAGCAAAGACCACATTTGGAAGCAAGAGGTCAGAAGGTGTGGGAACTAGCGTGCTAACAAAGGTTTGGGGACCCGGTCGGAAAGGCTCAGATCCAGTTTGGGGATCAGTAGGTACGATGTGGATTCCAGGAGCAAAAATTTAGAGTTCAAGAGAGAGGAGACTCTTGACTGTGGGTGAAGACAGACTAGTCTTCTCACAACTTAGTATTTGGGAATTATGGGTCAGGAAGTCCAGCATCAGAAGTCAGCGTTAGGAACGAGAAGAAGCCACAGGAACCATAGGGTAACGGGGACTCAGGTAGGATCCCAGGGCTCCGTTTGGTAATTTAAGGTTTACTCACGTGTCCCCATCCTCAGTGACGTAGCCAAAGACCAGGGGCGCCCAGGACAGCTCGGGGCCCAGCTCTGCGCCCAGCCCTGGTCCTCCGGGAGCCGCCGCGTCGGGACCTAGAGAGCCTAGGCCGCTGTCACACCATTCATCGGCGTCCGCAGTTTTCCCCAAGCACGCGACCCCGGCCATGGTCCCAGCCACCTCGGGTGGCCCCCTGTGGTCGCCCGCCTGTCGCTGGGCTCTGCGGTGATCTCCAGTGCTTCCGCCCTGCTGGGAATTCCCCAACACGCCCCCTCTTCTACCCAATCAAAATGTGTTACCTAGCCTCACCCCGCCCCTGTGCAGCACCAGAACCAATCAGAATAATGAGGTGGACACCGGCTCGCTGAGTTTCCCCACTTTTTCCAGACGCCCTTTATCAATATGGCTACAAGCGCCATGCCTTTTGGGATTTGTAGTTCTATGCCACGAGAGGTGTAGTGTACGAAAGCGGTTGCTGGACTGCGTTGGCTGCTGGGAGTTGTAGTTCTCTATCCTTTCTCGGTCCCCTCTTGTTTCCGGTGCCGTCACGGGACAGAGCAGTCGGTGACAGCTCCGAGGGCCCCCACCCCGCTCCCATGGCCGAGCCGGACCGTGAGTCGGGGGCCCAGATGGGAGGGTCGGGCCGCGCCGGGGCCTGGCTTTGGGCTGCAGGCCCCGGGGCCCGAGGGCAGGTTCGGTGGGGTGGGAGAAAGGGGCTACGTGAAGGGAGTGGGATTTGGAGGGCCATTGCTAAGTGATCGATATTGCTAGGTTGGTGGGTGTCTGGGTTGTGAGATTTTAAGGGTCCGTTTGGCAAGTTCTTAATGATCGCATTTCTCGCACTTTGGTTGCTGAGGACCCTCGTTGCTAAGGACCAAAGTTGCCACGATCCTGGTTGCTAAGGTTGTCTGGTGTTAGGGGCAACTATAGGATGTTCGGGGACCCCTCCTGCCCCTTTCTATCTCATTCCTTCGGTTCCTGTGCCTCTCCTAAACCTCCAAGCTCCACTGCATCTCCTCTCCCATACTCAACTCTTCAGCAGAAGTATCCCTACTCGTATCTCCTGAAAAACTTCGCCCTCCCTCATTCTCCCCGCCGACACACACGCTACCATGTCCTGCCTAATTCTAAGTCTTCCTTCAGTCCTGTTTCGCCTGCTTTCTCCTCCTAAACCTTCCCCTCCTCAGCCTTTCCACCTCACACAGCCTTTCACTCTAAAATATGCCTTTCCCCATCTCTGACAGTTTTACTACCATCCCTGACTCCAGGATGATTAGGTTGGTGGGTCTTCTTGTTGCCCTCCACCACTGTGAACCCTTCATCCCCTTAACTATTCCCCCCACTGTAACCACGTCTGCTCCCCCTCCTCCCCAGCCTCTGACCCTCTGGAGACCCAGGCAGGGAAGGTGCAGGAGGCTCAGGTGAGATGGGGGAAAGGGTGGAGGGAAGGAGAGAGATGGACTTGGTTCCACATTCCACACTGGGGGGAGGTGGCAAGGGGAGACTTTTACCCGAGGGCCCTTGGCTTATGGTCCTGATCCCTAACTCTGTGTGGGGATTAGTACAGCCTCCTGGGGAATGGTGGCTTCTGAGGACTGTCAAGGAAAAATGAACAGCCTCAACCACCGGTTGGTGGCCCTTCCATATTGTCCTCTTTGCTGACTGTTACCCACCCCCTTCCTCAATCCCTTCTGAACCTCATTTGTGCTGGGCCTGAAAGGGACAGTTTTCCAGTTTGATCCTCAAACTCACAGGTCTCATGGGGTGGGGGACATGACCTTATAGAGTTGATTTTGAAAGTAGCACAGAAGCTGGGTGTGATGTCATACATCTGTAATCCCAGTGCCTGGGAGGCTGGGGTAGGAAGATGGGGAATGACAGGCAGCTGGGCCATATAGTGAGGCTCTGTCTGAGGAGAGGCACTCCAGGAGTGCACAGAAAACTTTGTGGGTCAGAGAAGATTGTAGAAGGTTCTAGCCAAACTCTTCCCTGGAGGAACTCACAAGCGGATCTAGGAACAAGACCAAGATATAGTCACAGTGTCATAAGTGAAGTGATTTCGAATTTTCTTAAATAAGACCAGATATGGTGTTTCATGCAGAGTGTGAAGATCTGAAGAGCAAGGAGGAGGAGTAAACCTTTTCAGTAATGGTTGCTGGGGTAGTCCTTTATTGATGCTCTCCCTGTACTTTAGTGTGCACGACCCCATTTACTCTTTCCAGCGTCCTGGTGAGCATCAAGCCCTTCATGGACACTTTACAGATGAGGAACTTGATGCAGTGTCCCTTGGGTAGAGGGACAGGGAAGGGCTTAGAACCGGTAGGGAAAGATGCTGTGAGTCCAGTGAGGAGGTAGATGAACATCTCAAAGATGTTTGAAGACCCTGCCAATGCCTCTAGAGCCCCCAGAGTCCAGGTTGTCCTCATGTACTAGACCAGTGGTTCTCAGCCTTCCTAATGCTGCGACTCTTTAATCCAGTCTCTCATGCTGTGGTAACCCCCAACCATAAAATTATTTTTGTTGCTACTTTATAACTATCATTTTACTACTGTTATGAATTGTAATGTAAATATCTGATATGCAACATATCTGATATTCGACCCCTGTGAAAGGGTTGTTCAAACCCCCAAAGGATCATGACCCATAGGTTGAGAACCATTGTACTAGACAATGCCTACAACCACTGAATGCCAGCATGCCCATCGATATGAGATCACTCTTCAAAGGGAGGCAGGTACAGAAGCTGTGGTCAACAATACACCCATAAGTGCTCAGCAGAGCTGTGACAACCCTGCTGTGGGTCTCTAGTATCTTTCTTGTCTGGCTTCCAAAATAAGACTTAATGCCAGACCAAAGGTTTCAGTCAGAAGGGGTTCTCAGTGGCAAAGATGATGTGGGGTGTCAATTGCAGCCTTATCCAGACAGAGGAACACTAGAAATAGCCCCAGTGGCCATCAGGAGAGGGAGTCAATGAACTATGGTTCATCATACAATGTGTTACTATGGAGCCACAATAAAGAATGAGGTGGGGGCTGGAAAGATGGCCTGGTGGCTAAGAATGTATACTGCTATTCCAGAGGACCTGAGTTCCATTCCAAGAACCCACATCAGGCAACCCACAAGTGACTCTAACTCCAGTTTGAGGGGATCTGACTCCATGAGCGCTTGCACACACATGCACAAACATGCACATCTACACAGAATTAAATCTAAAAAAAAGAATAAGGTGGGTCTGTGAGACAATGTTTAGAACTATACTCTGACATGACCCGTTTCTGTAATATCAATGAGTAAAAACTCATGCAGCACATACAGCTGGAGTTATTTCTGTTTAATCATGATTTGATGTTGCCTGGCATTTGTTCATTGTGCGAAGGCTCAGGAGGCTGAAAATGCGGGTTTATGAGTTGGAAGCCAGCTTGGGTGAGAACGTAAGACCCGTCTCAAAAAAAAAAAAATAAAAAGCTTGTATAATCTCTTTTTTAATTTTTAAGCTTTGCTTGTTTGTTTGTTTTCTGGGTAGGATGCACATGCCACAGTGATGTGTGGTAATCTGAGGGCATTTGTCCTCTCCTTCCACCGTGATGTGGGGCCTGGAAGCAAACTCGGATTGTCAGGCTTAGTGGCAAGACCTTTCCCTGGTGACCCTCTCGCCAGCTTGTGTAATTTTTTTCTTGATTTTTCGAGACAGGGTTTCTCTGTGTAGCTTTGCGCCGTTCCTGGAACTCACTCGGTAGCCCAGGCTGGCCTCTCACAGAGATCCGCCTGCCTCTGTCTCCCGAGTGCTGGGATTAAAGGCGTGCGCCACCACCGCCCGGCTCGCTTGTGTAATTTTAAAACATCAGGAAAGAATCATTTTAGAATCAGGCGTGGTGGTGACACATCCCTATAATTCCAGCACCTAAGAAATAAAAGTAGGTGGGCCAGGAGTTCAGGGTCACTCTCAGATACATAACAGGTTGGAGCCAACCTGGGCTAGTAGGACCCTGTCTCAAAACAGCAGTAACAACTAAAGAATCTTTTTAAAAAATAATTTGGAAAGGAGGTTTGGGAGCAGAGTAGGGAAGGGGTGGCCTGAGGGCTTTTGAGCAGTTAGTTGATTGAGTAGGTCAAACCCTGGCCTAGCACGCAGTCTGCATGCATTTAGTGGCAGAAGGTTCTAGAAGTCCTGTTATCTAGGCTGGGTGGTAAGTGGTGAACGTAGATAAAGTCCCTGCCCTTGTTTGGCTTATATTATGGCACATGGTAGATGTTTGTGATTCAGGGGGCTTTAAAGAAAAGAGGGGTGGACAGCCCTAAATAGGCTACCATGGGGAATAGGAGGATCAGAGATGGAAACTGAGTCAAGGAAGCCAGAGCAGGACCCCAGGAGAGAGAACAGGCTGAACCAGGTAGAGCTCTGGGGTTGGGAGAGGGGGTCAGTGGAGGGAGATCGGGGGACTGAGTGGGAACACTGGAAATTGGCATAAGGGCAGGGTGCGGTAGGGAAGTCAACTAAGGGGCAGTGAGGCCACTTGGCATGGGGACTGGGAGCAGGAGCTGGCTTCCAGGAGATGCTAAGGCCGCTCTGGAACATGGTTGGAGCAAAGTGGGGTCCCCTTGAGAGGCTCACATCTGGGGACAGAGAAGCAGCATCACCAGTGCCTAGGCTGTAGCATAGCTGTGGCAGGTGGCCCAGGGAAGTGGAGAGGACCAGCCGAGATGCCAAGGGATTCACTGCTCAGCCTCACAGCAAACTCTGAGCTGCACGTACAAGTTGAGGCCCATGGACTTGAGGTCTAGCCCTGGCGGCGGTGGTTGCCTAGTGTTCAGGAAGCCTTGGCTTCAGTCCCTAGTGTCTTGTCAGGCTGTGATGGCGGGCTAGTTAGAATGTCGAACATGAGCTCCAACATGACACCTGTAATCCCAGCATTGAGGAGGTGGAGACAAAAGGATCAGAAGTTCAAGGTCTGTAGACTTCATAGCAAGTTTGAGGCCAGCCTGGGCTACATAAAACCCTATTTCAGAAAGCAAGCTAGGTATGGTGGCACATGCCTTTAATTCCAATAGTCAGAAAGAGGCAGAGGCAGGTGGATCTCTGAGTTCAAGGGCATCGTAGTCTACATAGTGAGTTCTAGGCCAATGAGGGACATATAGTGAGACCCTGTCAAGAGAAAAAAGATGGGAGCAAGCATGGTAGGCCATGCCTTTAAGCCCAGGAGGCAGAGGCAGGTGGATCTCTGGGAGTTCTGGGTCAGCCTGGTCTATATAGCCAGTTCTAGGCCAGCTAGAGAGATCCCATTTCAAAAAAAAAGATAAGGCCTAGGAAGTCAGTCACATGAGGAGACCTAGGTCCCCTACCTATAGGCAACCTCTCCTAGAGCCCTCTACTGGCCCTCTACTTTTTCAGGCCACCTCCCAGTCAGAGCCCTACCTCTTTGAACCAGGCGGCACCCCATCCCTTCCCCTCCCTTTCTCCCTAACCTCACTTCTTGGGCTTGGCCATCCCACCTGCCCCTTCCAGGATTCAGACTCGGACACTGAGGGAGGAGCTTCTGGCGGAGCGGCCGAGAGTAAGTGTCTTCCTGGAGGAGGGGTGGGGGGTGATCTGGGGTCTGGGACTGTAGGGTAGCTAATAGGAGTGATACCTAAAGCATGTAATAATGGGCTTGGTTGTGGAGGCTGCTGGTTGTGGGGGACACTGGGACTTTGCTGGGGGGAGGATAGTAGATTGCATGGTTGGGCAAGGCCTGGGGCCCTGGCTCGATGCCCACCTGGCACTGTCTCTCTTGTTGTTGGTCAGTGGACTTCCTGCGGAATTTATTCTCCCAGACCCTGGGCCTGGGCTCCCAGAAGGAGCGTCTGCTGGACGAGCTGAGCCTTGAAGGAGTGACCCGCTACATGCAGAGCGAGCGCTGTGAGTCCCCCACTGCCTGGCCACTTCTCCCACCCCTGGCCCACAGTGACTTCAGACTTGTCAGGTATGAGAAGCAAGAAAAACTGCTGAGTATGGAGATACACACCTGTGATCTCAACTCTGAGCAGGTATAAAAGGATCAGCTTTTCAAAGTTAGCTTCGGCTATATTGTGCATTTAAGGCTAACCTGAGCTACATGACAGCTTTTCTAAAATAAAAAATTGGAGGACACCCAACTCTTGACATGTAGAGATGGCTTACTAGTTAAGAGCACTGGCTGCTTTTCCAAAAGACCTGGGTTGCCTTCTCAGGCCCCACATGGTGGCTCCCACCCATCTGTAACTCCAGTTCCAGGGGGTTCCGTGGGTGTCGATTATGTACCTGGTACACAGACACTCACTCAGGTGAAACACTCAGACACTTAAAAAGAAACTCAGCTCTTCAGGAAATTCAGGCAAGAGGATCATGAATTTGAGGGCAGCCTGAGCTACATAATAAGAGTGTTGACTGAAAGAAAGAAAGAAAGAAAGAAAGAAAGAAAGAAAGAAAGAAAGAAAGAAAGAAAGAAAGAAAGAAAGAAAGAAAGAGAGAGAGAACGAAAGAAAGAAAGAAAGAAAGAAGGAAGGAAGGAAGGAAGGAAAGAAGGATGGAAGGAAGGAAAGACAGACAGACAAGAACCAAAAAGGAGCACGCAGACTCTAAGCATTAAACGTGATGGAGTGAGGCGCTTGGACGTTGTTCTCAAGCCCCACAAGTCTGACAAGTTTGTCTGTGCCTGTGTGGGGGGTGTGTGTGTGTGTATGTGTGTGTGTGTGTGTGTGTGTGTGTGTGTGTGTGTGTGTGTGTGTGTGTGTGTATGTGTGTTGCGCACACGCGCAGCTCCACACAGGAGACCAGAGCTACTCCAGAGGGCACTTTTTCGGCCCAGGCTGAGTCAAATGACTGCCCTGAACTCCGCCTCCTCTGAGTTCCCTGTCTGATTGGCAGACCTGAATCACTGCTTATTTTTTGAGGGGTGGAACAAGTAGGTACTGAGGATGGAACCCAGGGCCCCCACATGCCAGGCAAGCGCTCTACCGGTGAGCTGCAGCCCAGCCCTCTTTTTCCTGTTGAATTTTGAATGGGTGTGAATTCACTCTACAGTCCCTGAAGGTTGATCCTCCCCTCTCAGCTCCCAGATAGCTGTGAATGTAGACCAGCACCACCAGGCCCGAGACCAGAAGTGATGATTCCTCTGGGGTGACCCAGGGTGAGGCTAAGGAAGTTAACAGGTGTGAATGTGCCCAACGGGCTGGCACCCCTGCAATCCAGCTACTCAGGAAGCTGGGGCAGGAGGGTCTGAATCCAAAGTTAGCCTGGGCTTCGTAAAAACGAGAGAAGTAGAGAGTGAGGAGATAGATACCTCAGTCCACAGAGTGCAGCCACACCAGCATGAGGACCTGGGTGTAATCCCCAGCACCCACACAGGAGCTCAGTGCTTGTAAGCCCAGGGCTGGGGAGACAGAAGCAAGAGGAGCCAAGCCAAGCCCAGGTCCCAGGGAGAGACCTTGCCTTAAAAAACATAATCGGATCTGCAAGATGGCTTTGCAAGGAAAGGCGCTTCCCACCAAAGCTGACAACCTCAGCTGGTCCCTGGACCCACACGTGAATGGCTCTCTCTCTCTCTCTCTCTCTCTCTCTCTCTCTCTCTCTCTCGCGCGCGCGCTCTCGCTCTCTCTCGCTCTCAAGAGAGAAATGACTAGAACAGGACCCTATCCCTTGAGAGCTGTGGATGGGCTTGCTATGGTATTATTACAGGAAGCCTGTCTCAGATGTGCTGTTTAGAAACCACCTGGCTGGGTCACCGTGAAATTGGTATTTCTCGTTGAGGGTGAGTCACCAAAGTCTGAGAAACCAGGCCCTCTCGGTCCTCAGTGGGAACAATGGAGCTTTGAGGGTCCTGAACAGCCCTTTGTTGAGGCCATCTTCTCCGGTTTCCCCTTCGCCCAGCTGCTCGTCTCCCTCCTTGGCAGCCAGGCTTGGCGGCTCAGCCTCTCTCTCTTGCCACAGGCCGGGCAGCCGCCTGCAGAGAGAACCCCAGCAGTGGCTAGGGGCCGTTTGTCCTTCCATCTTCTTCCACTCAGGTCTTAGCGTCACTGGCCTGTAGGGAGAGGGACTTAGGATTAATAGTGATTAACCAGATGTAGCTCAGTTTGGCTGTGTGCCAAGCCCTGGGCTAAGGACTTCACAAGCATCCTCGTACTGATTATCTCAGAAGAGCCAGGAGGTCTTTCTAGAAGTAAGCTGAACTGAAGAGGAAACTGAGGCACAGAAAGGTTGTGACTTGGTGTGAACATCTGGCAAGTGGCACAGTCAGGACTCGATACCAGGACCCTTGAAGCGAGGGTTTGCTCGATAGCTGTGGCTAGCTTTAACACAGGATTATCTCAGTCTCCCAAGTTTTGGTATCACAGACATGTGTTACCACACACAAGAATGTGTGCGTCCCCAGTCTCAGTGCCCATGACCTCCAACCAGACCAGGGCCAGTGCCGTCCTAAAAAAAGCTGTGACTAGGCCTAGGCTGTGATTTTTTTTTTTTTTTTGTAAATATTTTTTGTTTTGTTTTGATTTGGTTTTTTTTTTTTTTTTTTTTTGGTTTTTCGAGACAGGGTTTCTCTGTGTACCTTTGTGCCTTTCCTGGAACTTGCTTTGGAGACCAGGCTAGCCTCGAACTCACAGAGATCCGCCTGCCTCTGCCTCCCGAGTGCTGGGATTAAAGGCGTGCACCACCACCGCCCGGCCTTGATTTGTTGTTTTTAGAGACAGGGTTTCTCTGTGTAGCCCTGGCTGCCCTGGAACTCACTCTGTAGACCAGGCTGTCCTCGAACTCACAGAGATCCACCTGGCTCTGTCTCCCTAGTGCTGAGATTAAAGGCGTGTGCCACCATGCCCAGCTTAAACATTATAAGTGTATGTGTACGTGTATGTGTGTACGTGTGTGTGTGTGTGTGTGTGTGTGTGTGTGTAGGTGCATGTGTGTGCTTGGCAGAGGACAGTGTTCAGGAGTTCTCTTTCCACCGTGACGTTTCTCAGAATCAAACTCAGGCCTGCAGCAAACAAGTGCCTTTACCCTTTGAGCCATCTCACTGGCCCCTGTGGCAGACTTTCACCTCTGTTCACACTTGTTGTCCCTTAAACAGAACACCCCAGGGGTGCCCAATTCATGGGACACCACACTTGTGTCTGTCCATCAGCTGACAGACAGATGCCAGGGCTCTGTGTCGCTGGGCTGCCTGCCAGCCAGCAGCTGAGGCAGCAACAAGGTTATTTCTGGCCAGCTATGTGCTTGTGAATGGATTCGACCATATCATGCCATCTTCTTTTCTTTTTCTTTCTTTTCTTTTTTTTTCTTTGTTTTTCCAGTCAGGGTTTCTCTGTGTAGTCCTGGCTGTCCTGGAACTCACTCTGTAGACCAGGCCGCCCTTGAACTCACAGAGATCCACCTGCCTCTGTCTCCCGAGTGCTGGGGTTAAAGGCATGCACATCCATTGCCATCTACTTTTCTAAGAACTATTAAAAACTGGGAACAAAACCCTCATAAGAATACAAACCAGCCGGGTGGTGGTGGCGCACCCCTTTAATCCCAGCACTTGGGAGGCAGAGGCAGGCAGATCTCTGTGAATTCAAGGCCAGCCTGGTCTACAGAGTGAGTTCCAGGACAGTCAGGGCTATACAGTGAAAATCTCACTTGAAAACCAAAACAAAAAAAGAATACAAACCATGGGTCTGAAGAAGTTTAATACAGTTGAGGGGCCAGAGATGTGGCTCACTTTGTAGAGTGCTTGTTTAGCATGCACAGACCCCCGGGTTCAATCCCCTACACCACATACAGAAACGGGGCATGGCCAGACATGGTGGCATGCATCTTACATCCTAATGCTCAGGAGGCAGAGGCAGGTAGGTCACTGTGTTCAAGGACAGCCAGGCTCATAGTGAGACCCTGTCTCTGAGAAAGAAAAGAAAAGTTGGGCATGGTGGTGCATGCCTGTAATCCCAGCACTTGGAGATGGAAGCAGGAGAATCAGAAGTTCAAGGTCATCCTTGGCTGCACAGTAAATTGAAAGCTTGCCTGAAATACATGAGATCCTGTCCAAAAACCAAAAGCAAACAAACAAAAAAGAGGTGATTGAGTGCAGCTGACTCCAAGGGGCAGACTCACTGGTGGCTTCCGTGTGAGCACAGCAGTGAGGTGAAGGAAAGGGTAGAACATGCTGGAAATGGGTCATCTGAAGGTGAAGCCTATCATCCCAGTGCCTGGGAGGCTGAAGCAGGAGGCTCAGGATTCCAGACTACCTGGCTAGACAGGGAGACACTGTCACAAAACCAAAGAAAATAACAGCAGGCCTGCTGGCACACACCATAGCCCCAACACCCAAGAGGTATGTGTGCAGGTGCCCTCAAAGGCCAGAGGCGGTGGCTGCCATGGAGCTGGAGTTAGCGGGTGCGGGGCACTGCCTGGCATGGGTGCTGGGCGCTGCACTCGGGTCCTCTGGGAAGGAGCACGTGCTCCCAACCTCAGCCTTCTGTGCAGCCCTCCTCTTCCTGTTGTTGGTCTTGTACTTGAGACAGGGTCTCCCTTCCTGGCACTGACTGGCTGGAACTCACTGAGTAAACCAGGATCTCACAGAGATCTGCCTGCCTCTGCCTCCCCGGTGCTGGGACTGCAAGTGTGCACCGACATGCTGCCTCCTTAGCTCAGATTTTAAAAAGAGAGAGATTTAAAGCCAGCTATGATGGCACGCAGTTTTAATCCCAGCATTTGGGAGGCAAAGGCAGGCAGATCTCTGCAAGTTCAAGGCCAGTCAGGGCTACATAATGAGACTTTGTCTCAAAAAAAGAAAATTACTTAAAAATAATTTTTAAGTCGTACACTATTGTGTCCTGAAGGTAAGCTGTCACCAGGGTTTGGTTTGGGTTGACTTTCAAAGTTCTCAGAATGGAACTCACACTAGCCAGCTCTGTAGTGCTGAGCTGGCTCTAGCATTCTCCCCAAGACTTCACCTGCTGTCGCCCACTCCTCTGCTGTCCCTTCTGGTTGGCTGTGTTTCCTCACACATGTGGGGTTGCCAACACTGTCCTCCCCACCTGCAGTACGAGTGGGAGGAGAACCCTATCACATGATCGGAACTCTCTCCTCCAGGTCGCAGGGTCATCTGTTTGGTGGGAGCCGGAATCTCCACATGTAAGTGCCCCTCCTTCCAGCCACTCCTGGGGTGTGGGAGCCCGGGGAGGGTTTGTGCATATATGGGGCTAGAACCTCTAACTGAGTGCCCCTCCCTAGCGGCGGGTATCCCTGACTTCCGCTCCCCATCCACTGGCCTCTATGCGAACCTGGAGAAGTACCGCCTTCCTTACCCGGAAGCCATCTTTGAGATCAGTTACTTCAAGGTACACAGCTAGATGAGGGAGGGAGTTCCCATCTCCAGGCCTTATCTTACCTGGCGTGTGGCCCTCTGGTTCTCTCTCCTACAGAAACATCCAGAACCCTTCTTTGCCCTTGCTAAGGAGCTCTACCCCGGGCAGTTCAAGGTAAGGTCTTTTTCTGCAGGGGAGATTGGAATGAGCAGACATGGGAAGGAGGCTCCTTATAGGCCCTTCAGACCAGCGTTGTATGATTATTAAGAATCCAGGCTATGGAACGAGCAGGATGGCTCAGTGGGTAAAGGTGCTTGCCACCAAACCTGACGACCTGAGTTCAATCCCCGGAACCGACATGACTGAAGGAGAGAACTGACTGCCACATGTTATTCTCGGACTTCTACATATGCACTGTGGCAAGTGCACCCCTCCCATATAAATATGTAAATAAATAAATACTGTTTGAGGGCGGGGCATAAATTCTGGGCAGATGTGCCCATAACTATAATATTTGGGAGGCAGAGATGGGAAACTTTCAAATGCAAGGTCAGCCTAGACTACATAGACCTTGTCTCAAAAGTGAAAGAAAAAAAAAGATGAAAAAATTGAAAAGGTGGGCGAGACGGAGAGATGCGTTTAAGAGCACATAGTGCTCTTGTGGAGAACCAGCACCCATGTGAGGGGGCTGTAACTCCAGCTCCAGGGAATCCGATACCTTCAGTGGGCACTGGAACTCACATGCATATACCCACGCAGACCCCCCCCCCAGTAACTAAAAATGTTAAATATTTTGTAAAAGAAAGGAAGCCCTGGTGTGGTGGTGCACACCCTTAGTCCAAGCACTTGGTGGCCTGGAGCACCCACATAGCAATTTACAGCTGTCTGGAACTCCAGTTCCAGAAAGTCCGACACCCTTTTGCCGACACACATGCTTACAAAACACCAATCAATGCACATAAGAGAGATAAGTCATTGTTTTTAGATCCCCGGGCCAGTTGGTGGTGGTGCACGCCTTTAATCCCAGCACTCGGGAGACAGAGGCAGGCGGATCTCTGTGAGTTCGAGGGCAGCCTGGTCTGCAGAGCTGGTTCTGGGACAGCCAAGCCTATACAAAACAAAACAAACACCTGTCTTGAAAAACAAACAAAAAACAAACTAAATAAATACTAAACAATTTTAAGAAATTAAAGGAAAGGAGGAGGAATGGTTTGCCGGCCTGCCCAGCCTGGCCTCTCTCTTGGCCCTCACCTCTTTACTTTGTGGCTCTGAGCCTCAGTTTCCCCACCTGTAAGACAAAGCTGCTGAGAGTCTCAGAAAGGGCTGAGGCCGGAGCCTGGCTATGAACCTAACTGTGCAGTTAACCGATTGGTAATGCCAGCAAGCCACCACTGTGCCTTCGGATGGTCTCCTCATCGGTGACGGGGAGAATGCCATGCTCATCCTCACTGGGCAAGGATGGGGCCATGGGATAGAATGGGCGTGTGGTTGGCGTCGTCCCTGGCCCATGGGACGGCCTGTGGCCATGGCCATCAGCCTTGTTATTCTCCTCCAGCCAACCATCTGCCACTACTTCATCCGCCTGCTGAAGGAGAAAGGACTGCTGCTGCGCTGCTACACGCAGGTAGGGGGACCGGGTGGCCGTGGCTGGTGCGTAGGCTGATGGGTCTTGGAGCCCTCAGTCAGAGCTGGGGATGACACAGGCAGGCGCAGGGCCAGCGACCAGGGCTTAGCTAACTGTAGTGAGTGATCTCCAGTGAACCACTCCTCTTAGCCTGTTTCCCCTGTATAAAAATGGGCCAGAAACTGGGCACGTTGGTACTTATGGAAGTGGAGACAGAAGGAGCAGAAATTCAAGGTCTTCCTTGGCTACAGAGTGAGTTTGAGGCCAGCCTTCAGGATGTGAGGCCTCGTCTCTAAATTGATTGATCAGTCAATTAATTTATTAAAATATAAACTACTACATATAAGAATTTTTTAAAAGAATTTTTCAATAATAAAAAAAGCCAAAACAGCTTCAGGCCCTCTGAAGTCTATTGTGAGGTGACAGTATATTCCCATTAGGTCACCCCATGCATACTACAAAAGGACTCTGTCTGAGGGGACACCATCTATATCACAGCCATCCCAAGTCAGCAAACTGGGACAGCTTTCTAACTGGTGCAAAAAAAAAAAAGGTGTGCTTTTTATGACTTGCATAGTTCCGAGCCTGGCCTTGAACACAGTGGTGGCTAACAGGACACTGTGTTCACACCGGAGTATTCGGAAGGGTGCTCAAGCTGCTGGTAGCCAGAAGGAAAAAAAATGTGTGCCTCTACCTCTGTCTCATCCATGTGTTGGCGTTCAGACTGCTCTGCGGCAGTCTACATGTGTGCTATAAATTACACCTTAGAACACAAGCTAGCTGAGCATGGTAGCACACACCTGTAATTCCAGCACTTGGCATGCTGAGTTCAAGCCCAACATCATGAGTTCAAGGCCAGCCTAGGCTACATAGTGAATTCAAGGCCAAATTTGCTCCAGAGCCAAACCTTCCCCCCACCCCCGCCAAAAAAATCAAAAAGGAAAAACAGAACTCCAAATCTTACAGAAGAGTTAATGCTTGAATACAAATAGGTATTGTTTTCTTCAGCAACCCGATGAGGTACCTGCAAAGTCAGAGATGGCCACCAGGGGGAGGATGAATTCTTTTGGGGCCAGATGGCTGGAGGCCCTAGTTGGGGAAGGGACAGCTCAGCCCTCAGGTGCTGCCCAAGGCCAGGACACTCCTGACTCAGCCCCACTCACAGAACAAGGCCCAGGCCCGATGCTGACAGCCTCCTTAAGGCCCACACTCCCTGCCTGCGGTTGTTTGCTAGCTTCGGTGACAGCAGATGTCCGTCCACCCAGTGCTGAGCACTGCTAGCGTGGACAGAGCAACCCCCCTGCACCCTGGTGCTGATATTCTCATGTGTGTGACATATGAAGGCGGGGCGAGTCACAGACCTTGTGTGTCAGATGGAACCAGGCCTCTGAAGTTACCCAAGAGGCCAGGTGGGTCTGTGTGAGCGGATGCTGGTGTGCACAGGGTAGGCATGGAAGCCTCCCCCAGAGGGTGGCATTGAAGCAAAGCCCAGAGAACTGAGAGGGGAGGGATCTTCAGGCAGAGCTCACTATGGGTGTGTGGGGGGACAGGGCCAGGGAGCCGCAGAGAGCAGGCAGGAAGCTGCCATGTTTGTCCAGCCAAAGTGGATGAGAGACGGACCTTTGGTGAGGGCCATTGAGGGAGAGCAGCAGGAAGACTAGGCATCTCGTTGGCAGATGAAGCCTGGATGCTGGGGTGTTCCTCATCTGAGTACCTCCTGTGCTTTCCTGAGACTGTTGGAAGGGAGGTGTCGGGGAGATGGCATTCTGCGTTGAGACCCTGGGAGAGAGCTACATGGAGGGTGGGGGCAGTTGGACATGGACCCTGGGCTGAGCAGAGAGGCAATAGCTGGAGAAGCAGCATATAGGTATTGACTCAGCAGATGGAGTGAAAAACTGAGGCCTCCGACAAAGCCAACTGGGAGTGGCTGCCAAGTGCCCTGAGTGCTGGCATGTTCACATTTTACCAGAAGGCCAGCAGAGGTGTGCTCAGTGTGAAATGTGCAGGTATCTGAGAACTACCTGCAATTTTTATTTATTTATTTATTTGTTTGTTTGTTTGTTTGTTTGTTTGTTTTTTCGAGGCAGGGTTTCTCTGTGTAGCTTTGGTGCCTTTCTTGGAACTCACTCTGTAGCCCAGACTGGCCTCAAACTCACAGAGATCCGCCTGGCTCTGCCTCCCGAGTGCTGGGATTAAAGGCGTGCACCACCACTGCCCCGCTACCTGCAGTATTTTTTAAGCTTTAATTTAGGTGGTGTGTGTGTGTGTGCACGTGCATGCGTGTGTGTGTGTGTGTGTGTGTGTGTGTGTGTGTGTGTGTGTGTGTGTGTGTGTGTGTGTGTTTCCAAGTATGCACACACATGTGCAGGCATGCCACATAAAAATGTTGGAGGTCCCAGGACAACTTGCATTCAACTCTCTCCTTCCGCCACATGGGTTCCAGGGGTAGAACTCAGATCATCAGGCTTGGTGGCAAGCACCTTTGTCTGCTGACCCATCTCTCTGACCCCACACATACACTTTTAAGAGGGTTTATTTTTATTTTACTTGTGTCTGTGTACCATGTGCATGCAGTGCCCACAGTGGCCAGGAGAGGGCGTTAACAGGTGGTATGAGCTGCTGTGTAGGTGCTGGGAACCCAACCTGGGTCTTCTGTGAGAACAAGCAGCACTCTTAACTGCTGAGCCATCCCTCCAGCCCCTACACATAGATTTTTGAGTGACTTATGTAAAATATCTAGCGGTGGAGAAGAATGTTCCACCTGCCCACTCTGTGCCGTCTTTTCTCTCAGGCACTCAGCCCTCGTCCTCCTCCTCCTCCCCAGTCACTGTTTGAGTCACTGACCCACCTTCTGGAACACACCAGCTTTGCTTCTGAGTTGTGCCAACGCAGCATCCCTGAAGCTGGGTGCTGCTATTTTCAGCTCAGGACACAGGAACCCATTCACACATTCAGGCAGTTGTCGTGATCACTCAAGCCACTGTGGTCCCCACAGAGTGACGGCTGCAGATCTTTCAAATTGAATGTTCAAATTCACAATACAGAGGTTCTCTTCAAGCTCCTTTTCCCACTCAGCCCATTGTATGGGCCCCTTCCACACACACTACACAGCAGCACCATGCTTTTTACAAGCTGAAGATTAATCTTTTTTCCTTTTTCCCCCCATGGGTCTGGGGTGGGGGTGGTGTGTGCAGTGATGCATGCATGGGAGAAGGGGGGGTTTGGGAGCTGGGGGACGGGGAGCCACACCCCAGCCCCTCACTGGGGGATTCTAGGCAAATGCTTTACTGCTGAGCCATGAGTCCAGGCAGGCCTTGAACTTGCCATCCTTCTGTCTCACCTCCGCCTGTAGCTGAGGTTACAGACTTGCACTAGCCCAGCTTTACTCTGTTGGCATTGGGTAGAGGCAGCTGTCCTGCCACGTCATCATGAGGGGAAACTGTGCCGACTTACCCAGGCAGGTCCTGGGTCACTTAGCTGTGATGTGCAATAGGGTAGATGTATCTGAGGCAACTTAAACTCACAACGGGGTCCTCAGGACATAGCCACAGTCTGTGGATAGGAGCCGACCCAGTCTGAGGTTTGAGGCATCTCCTACGATCCTGAACCCTGTCTCCCGGATACAGGCTGTGGTAGTTCCCTAGGCCCTTGTTTAGCCGTTTGCATGTGTGTTGCTTACTCTCCAGTGAGGGACTCTAAACTGAGTCATTTACAACTCTGAGGCGGGGTCTGTGATGTGAGGCCGGGTGTGGTGGTGAATCCCTGTAATCCAGCACTCTAGAGGGAGGGTCTCAAAAAACATAACTCCTCCCAAAGAAATAAATAAGACATTCTTTTATTAATTAAAAAAAATATTACATTTATTTAGTGTGTGTGTAGAGTTCAGAGGACAACTTGGGGGAGGTATCTCCTTCTACCATGTGGTTTCCAGGGGTCAGAATCAGGTTGGCAGGTTGGTGGCAGGTGCCATCACCTGCTGAGGCATCTTGTCAGCCCTTTACTGGGGTTTTTCAAGTGGCTCACTCTTGTCGCCCAGGCTGGAACTCACTGTGTAGCTTAGGCTAGCCTCAAGCTTGTAGCAATCTGGGATTATTGGCATGATCCACCGTGCCTGGCTTTATTTATTGTTTATTTCAGTTTTGTTGTTGTTTTTGTTTTGTTTTGTTTTCCGAGACAGGGTTTCTCTATGTAGCTCTGACTGTCCTGGAACTCACTCTGTAGACCAGGCTGGCCTCGAACTCAGAGATCCGCCTGCCTCTGCCTCCCAAGTGCTGGGATTAAAGGTGTGCGCTATTATTTCAGTTTTTGAGGCAGGGTCTTCCCATGTAGCCCTGGCTGGCCTGACAATAGCTGGGTAGCCCAAGCTGGCTTTAAACTTACAGCAGTCCTCCTGCCTCAGTCTCCAAGTGCAGGGATTTCAAGCAGCCACCTTCACTCCTGGCTTGATTCATTTTATTGTGTTAATGCCTGCGCAGAGCTGCTGCACATAGCTGTGCAGGTCGGGCCGCACGGGTGCGGCTCTTTTAATAAATTGGTGGCAAATGGCAGGAAAGTGTGGCTCTCTAACAAAAGAACGTCTCTGGAAAATAGAAGCAATGACCCAGGTTTACAGAATAATGTCACATGGGGCTGATGATGGCGTGGGCCTGGCTGCATAGACATTTGAGCCTCGGCAGCCCTGTAGCCCTGACTGTTAACCCTTCGGTGGCCCACTGGAAGAGTGGGCACTTGGCACATATCCTCCCCTCCCCCTTGTCCCCTGCAGTCCCGCTCCTCAGAGTCCATGAGGGCTGATGGTCCTGCCCTTCCCTCTGTCTCCCGCTCCAGAACATAGACACGCTGGAGCGAGTGGCGGGGCTGGAGCCCGAGGACCTGGTGGAGGCCCACGGCACCTTCTACACCTCCCACTGCGTCAGCTCCAGCTGCCGACAAGAATACACGCTGAGCTGGATGAAAGGTGAGGCTGGGATCACGATGAGGCCAAACCTCCCACTCCTTGCCCATGCCATAGCCAGGTCTCCACATGCTTTGGCACCAGTGTGGTCCTGTTCACTTTTTCAGCTCTTGCTGGTTAGTTGGTGAGTTGGTTGGTTTCCTTTGAGACTAGGTTTCCCTGTGTAGCCCAGGCTAGCCTTGAACTTGCACTTCTGCCTCAGTCTCCCTAGTGCTGAGATTGCAGGCATGCACCACCACACTCAGCTCTCTTGCTCTTTACAGTAGCTGTGGAAGCCCCACGGAGCCGTGGCTCCCTTACCCCCTCTCCGCCAGGCTGTCATACATATGAACTACGGAGCAAGGCCAGCCACGCTAGACTCACACCCACAGTGGCCACAGAGCCACTGAAGTCATGAGCACTGGCTCTGTGGCCTCTGAGGTGTTTCACCATTTCACATGAGAGTCCTTCCGTCAAGGCAAACACAGCTGTGTTCTGAGGACAGCATTGGAACGAGGGGGCCTGTCTGCGTCCAGTCTGGTGCCCAATGCTCCAGTTGTCCACTGAGCACTAGAAATGAGCCTAGTGAACCAAAGAATCAATTCTCTGCTACCATGTGGGTCCCAGGAATTGAACTCAAGCTGCCAGGCTTGAAGATGGCACCTTACCTTCTGAACCACCTTGCTGACCCAGGACATTTTTAATCTTTCTTTTTCTTTTCTTTTCTTTTTTTTTTTTTTTTTTTTAAAGACAGGGTCTTTAATTTTATTAAATTTTTGTTGATTTCAATTGTAGGTGCCACACCAGGAGCCATGGTATATGCCTGTTATCTATTGTTTGGGAGATAGAGGCAGGAGGAGCAGGAGTTCAGGGCTAGCCTTGGCTACATAGCAAGTTCCGGGGCAGGCCGGGCTACATGACGAAAAATAAAAATAAGAAAAAACAGTAAATTTTCTAAGTTCCATGTAGCCCGGACTCCCATAGTAGACAGTGCGAGAGGAATGTGTAGAGAAGCAGCCAAGTGCCGTGCCGGTCAGTCAGAGATTAGTGCGAGAGCACACACGGCGGGCTCACTACTGCCACTGTCCCCGTCCACGGAAGGACAGTCCCCATGCCCTCAGTGCCAGCCCCAGCCTGCTTCTGGCAGCCATTGTGTCGAGTCTGAGGCTGCCCTGTCGCTGTGCCGGGAAGCTGTATTCTTTATGCTGACTTCACAAAGCCCCTCGTGTCCCCTGAGATCAGGACAGCTGTGGCCTTTGTGGCAGGACCATGGAAGGTGGCCTTTCTGACAGAATGCCAGCCAGCTGCCCCCAGACTGAGGGTTCCGAGCAGCCTGAGCGTGCACAGCTGGGGGTTCCGGACAATGGCCATCACCCCTTTATGTCTCTGTGGAGTTGCATCTACCCCCGCAGAACAGCGTGGTGTTTGTGTAGAAGTACCCTGCATGGTGGTGGTTAAAGCCGCACTCTGTGCGCGGCTAGATGAGCGGCTGACAGCTGAGTTCCAGTTCTGCAGGCTGCAAGTGACAGACGTGCTTTCGAGCCCCTGTTCCATGAACAATAAGGAGTGTGACTGCCCTAAGGGTAGTATTAGAGGAGTCTGTCACAGAGTCGGGGCGGGGGGGGGGGGGGGACACGCAGATGGGCTTGAGGTGGACTCCATCCCACGATTATCTGTATGTCCTCCCCTGACCCAGGGCAAATAGGACTGTCCTCAAGACCCAGTGGAAGGGCTTGACCCCCACTCCACAGATGGGGGTCTGGTGGAGTCCAGGGGTAGGTGGATTTGCTCCTGTGTTTACCATCTCATTCACTAGCTGTAGGCAGTGGTACTTGGAGCCACCCCCTGGAAGCCTGGAGATGAAGGGGACAGCTCTCTAAGAAGGGAGCTCTTCTCTAATAAGCCGGAAGGACACCCCCAGGAGATCCCTTAGTGGTGAGGTGTGCTGTTTGTTTTGTGGTGCTGGGGCTTGGACATGCAAAGTCAAGTGCTCTACCACTGAGCCACACCCCAGCCCCTCACTGGGGGATTCTAGGCAGGGCCTCTACCACTGAGCCACACCCCAGCCCCTCACTGGGGGATTCTAGGCAGGGGCTCTACCACTGAGCCACACCCCCAGCCTCTCACTGGGGGATTCTAGGCAGGTGCTCTACCAGTGAGCCATGCCCACAGTCAGATTCTAGGCAGGGGCTCTACTGATGAATCATGTCCCAGGTCCCATAATGTTCCAGCATTGAGCTACATCCTTTCCTCTTGACTTTTTGTTTTTGAATACTTTTCACATTTCTTTCTTTGTGTGTTTGCATGTGTATGTGTGTGGGTATATACATCCACAGCATGCCTGTGGATGTCAGAGGACAGTCTGCAGGACTTGTTTCTCTCCTTTCAGCGTGTGGGTTCTGGGGATCGAACTCAGGTCATCGGGCTTGGCAGCATATGCGTTTACACACTGAGTTGCTTGAGACATGGTCTTGCTGTGTAGCCAAGACTGTCCGTGAACTCACAGTCCTCCTCCTGAATTCTCCCAAAAGCAGGTTTAGTGGCGTGCGCCTCTGCCACCTGCCTGGGTGCGTTTATGTTGACAGTGGGGAGGGGCAGAAGAAAAATGACTGCTCCAGGCTTGGGAGGCCTCACGCCTCTCCCTCCCTCCCTCTTCCCATCCAGAGAAGATCTTCTCAGAAACAACCCCCAAGTGCGAAAAATGTCAGAGTGTGGTGAAGCCTGGTGAGCCTCGGGGCCTGGGGTGGGGGGACTGGAGCTGGGGCCCTCTCCCCCACTGTTCCCCTCACTCCACCTCTGGCCACCTCTGCTGCGTGGCCCACCCCCTCCTGTCCTACAGAGGGTGGGTATTTGCCCCCTCAGGCCTCAGTTGATTGCTGCCTGTTCCAGCTCTGTCTCCTATATCTCCTCTCCTATCCGTTTCTACCTCAGATATCGTGTTCTTCGGTGAGAATCTTCCACCACGCTTCTTCTCCTGCATGCAGTCAGTAAGTGTCCACCCTGGGCTTGGCCCACGTGGGCTGCGAGCTGGAGGGAGGTGGGGCACAAAGGCAGAGCAGTGGGGTCCAAGTCCCTCCTGGCTCCTCCCTGCAGGACTTCTCGAAGGTGGACCTCCTCATCATCATGGGCACCTCCCTGCAAGTGCAGCCCTTCGCCTCCCTGATCAGCAAGTAGGTGGAGAGGTAGGGCTGGGGGTCGGCTGGGGACAGGAAACAAGGCAGATCCTGAATCCAGCTCCCCATTCCCAGGGCACCACTATCTACCCCACGCCTGCTCATCAACAAGGAGAAGACGGGCCAGGTGAGTCTGTCTCAGCTTCCCTCGCTCTCTGCTCACTGGGGGGTTTCACCCCTCCCACAGGAGGGTGAGACAGGTCTCAGTGTGTCCCTCCTAGAGAGCATCGGTGCTTTAGACTTGCCAGTTCAGGGCTGGAGAATATGGGCGTCAGGTGCTGGGCCAACCTGACGCTACAGGCCTCTGCCCCACTCTGGATTCCTCTGAGCAAATGACAGAACCACACCTTGAACCTGCTGAAGCCCGAGTGCTCCCTGGGACCCAGGAGACCAGTGTACGGCTGACTGTGCCACAGGGCTCCAGCCATTACCATCCTAGTACCTTCTCACATATCAAAATCTGGGGATGCTCCGGTCCCTCGTATGAGTGGTAGATTGTCTGTGTGCAGCACACACCTCCTCCTGGAGATGCTCCGGTCCCTCGTATGAAGTGGTAGATTGTCTGTGTGCAGCACACACCTCCTCCTGGAGATGCTCCGGTCCCTCGTATGAAGTGGTAGATTGTCTGTGTGCAGCACACACCTCCTCCTGGAGATGCTCCGGTCCCTCGTATGAAGTGGTAGATTGTCTGTGTGCAGCACACACCTCCTCCTGGAGATGCTCCGGTCCCTCGTATGAAGTGGTAGATTGTCTGTAGGCAGCACACACCTCCTCCTGGAGATGCTCCGGTCCCTCGTATGAAGTGGTAGATTGTCTGTAGGCAGCACACACCTCCTCCTGGAGATGCTAAGCTGTATCTACTTGACGTGTGGTGCGACGCAGTGTGAACCCGGAGAAGGTTATTGAAACAGTGAGACAGGCTCTCGTGTGGCCTGTCCTCTCAAACTCACTGTGTAATCACAGACGGCCTTGAACCCCTAATCTTCTTGCCTCTGCCTTTCAAATTCCGGGGTTACAGGCCTGTGCCATCACACCTGGCTGTGTTATTTGTTTGGAGGAGCTTTTTGTTGTTGTTTGTGGTTTGTTTTGTTTTGTTTTTTTCACGACAGGGTTTCTCTGTGTAGCCCTGGCTATCCTGGAACTCACTCTGTAGACCAGGCTGGCCTCAAACACAGAGATCCACCTGCCTCAGCCTCCCAACTACTGGGATTAAAGGTGTGCACCACCACCTGGCAACTGCTTAGAAGTTTAAATATCACCATGTCCCTTCTCACCAGCAACTGCTGACAATACTAAAGGGGGGGGTGGAGGGGGTGTCTGTGGATGGAAGGCTCTGGAATAAGCTCAAAACAGACTCTGATTATACGTCTGTGACAAATCTCAGCTGACAGGAGACACGGGACCGAAGGACACATGAAATGACACAAGAATGCATGGTGGCATGCGTTTGCAGTCCCGTACTGGAGAGGCAAAGATTGGTGGATACCTGGGGCTCACTGGACAGACAGTCTCACCAATTTCGAGTTCCAGGCCAATTGAGAAACCTTATCTCAAAAAGAATATGTTTGGGTTGGGGATATGGCTCAGTGGCAGAGTGTTTGCCTGGCATACACAGAGCCCTGGGTTCAAGCCTCAGCACTGTCAGAAAAAAAATGATGGTTTTGGACAGGAGAGATGGCTCAGTGGTTAAGAACACTTTCTGTTCTTCAGAAACCCAAGTGCAGCTCCCAGCCCCCGAATCGGGAGGCTCACAACTACTCCAACTCCAGCTCCTGGGGATCTCACACCCACACACACAGACACATACTTACTACATACACTTAAGAAATAAAAATAAGCCAGGCGGTGGTGGTGCAGGCCTTTAATCCCAGCACTCAGGAGGCAGAGGCAGGTGGATCTCTGTGAGTTCAAGGACAGCCTGTACTACAGAGTGAGTTCCAGGACAGCAAGGGCTACACAGAGAAACCCTGTCTCGAAAATAAATACAGGCAGGTCTGGTGGCTCCAGGGCTGTGCTCTTAGCTATTCTCTCCTGTAGATGTAACCAACCTTCTTATTAAATAAGAAACACAGAACCAATGCAAAGAAGAAAGCCAAGAGGTCAGAGCTAAGAGCTAAAACCTTACCCTTCCTCCTGCGGTGGTCCTACCTCTCCGAACCAGAGCTACCCCTGTGTTAAAGTCTTTATATAGAGTTCCTGTCCTGCCTTCTCATTGGTTGTAAACCCAACCACATGACCGCCATGTCACGGCTTGTCTGTATAGGCCTCCAGGTTTTCTATGATTGGTATTGAGATTAAAGGCATGTGTATCCAATAATGGCTGTATCCCTGAACACACAGAGACTTACCCAGCTCTGCCTACCAAGTGCTGGAATTACAAGCGTACGCCACCACTGCCCTGCTTTCCTATGGCTTGCTAATAGCTCTGACCCCCGGGCAACTTTATTTATTAACATACAAATAATATTTTAATACAAATAAAATATCACCATACTCTCCCCACAGACAGATCCCTTCCTGGGCATGATGATGGGCTTGGGAGGCGGCATGGATTTTGACTCCAAGAAAGCTTACAGGTGAGGTCTGGGCCTGGGGGGGGGGGCGAAGGAGCTTGGGAAGGGCAAGCTGAGGTGGGAGAGAAGACAGAAGCCTGGCCAGGCCTCAGTCTGTTCTCTACCTCCTGCTCGCACTGCAGGGATGTGGCCTGGCTAGGTGACTGTGACCAAGGCTGCCTGGCCCTTGCTGACCTCCTGGGATGGAAGGTGAGGAGCTAGGCCACCCCAGCCCACCCTGAGCCCAGCCCTATAGGATGTTATGGTAACCTCTAACTTCTTTGAACTTTGCCCCCTGCAGAAGGAGCTGGAAGACCTTGTCCGGAGGGAGCATGCCAGCATAGATGCTCAGTCAGGGTCCCAGGCCCCCAACCCCGGCACTAGCAGCTCCCCTAGAAAGTCTCCACCTCCAGCCAAGGAGGCGGCCAGGACCGAAGAGAGAGAGAAGCGCCCCTGACCACTACCTCCTGAGCAGGACAGTGGAGCCCCCGCCAGCACTGGCCCCTCTAACATGAGCTGCTGTGGGGCTCAGTGGATCCTTCATTCTCTTAACCAGGGTCCCCAACTCAATCCCAGAAAATTCTAATGTACCTGGGGGCTGCGGGCTGCACAGCCCATCACTAACAGCCCACAGCCTCTAACCACCGAGGGCAAGAAGACCTCCCCTAACTCCTAACAACTCCCAGAGATCAGGTTACCCCCAAACTGCTAACTGTGCCAGAAGAAGGCATTTCTCTATTGTTCTCAGGGGGGGCGTGTCTAAATCAAATTAACCTACCCCACAGAAGGGCTGAACTTCACCCAGGGGTGAGAGTCTGTGGGCTCTCCAAGCCTGAAGGCCCCCCAATTCTCTGCCTCCAACAGACAAAGTGGGTGCTGGCCTCCCTTTCCTAGGGACCCTCTTGCCAGCCAGTGGGGGATGAGCAGGAGACTTGTTTATTGGAAACAAATTAAAAACCAAAACAAAGCAACTAACCATGAGCTGTGTGGCCTCTGCTTCTTTTAGTGGGTACCTGCGGCATCTGGGGGAGGGAGGGGGGCCATAAAGACAGCAGACTGACGACCTATGGCTCCAGGATCTTAGGAGTGATAGTGGGTGGGGCCAAGAGGATGCCCCCTGGAGATGGTGGCCTGGCGACTTTTCACCCTGGCTCTTAGCCTGTCAGAGATCCACTCCTCCAAAAGAGGAGCCCTTAAGGCTGGTCCCCGGAAAGAGAGAGGAAGGTGATTTCAGATGCCCCCAGCCCCGCCTCTTCCCCTGTATGCGGGCTTCCTCTCCAGAGAACACTTTCGCTTCCTGCTGCTCAGGCTCCCCTCGGAACAGGTAGGGCCCCCAGGGACCCAGCATCTGGCTTCTGCATCCACAGCTGCCTCCATCCAACCCTGCCCAGCACCAGGCATATCTGGATCTCCTCCCAAGAGTCCTGGAGGGGAAGGGCACCCGCCTTCCCCTCTCCACCTCTCTTCCCTGCTTATCCCTGAGGTGTGCCTGCCCCCTCCCCCCCCTGAAGCTGCCATTCAGCAGCTAATTGATTTATATAGCTGTTAATTATCTGGCTTGCATACAACACCCTAACAGAAATGGAACCTTCTCAAAAGGGCTAGCCCACTTCATAAAAGGGCTAGCCCACTTACCAACCCTCCTCCTAGGCCAGTCACCTAATGCTGGGCCCAAGCTGAATAATTCAGATGGAAAGATGGGGGGATGGGGATGGAGGGATGATGGAAAGATGGATGGATGAATGGTCTCTCTCCAGACTACCCTCCCTACTCCTGAGACTGCTGTGGGGGAAATATTCAAAAGGCTCACCCTGAGTTGAGAATCCCTTACAGGGTTCCCTTCTTGGGTATAGTTGGCGCATGCCTGTGATCCCAGCACATGGGAAGTGGGGTGGGGAAGATCAAGAGTAAGAGGCTAGCCTCTATTACAATACACAAGTATGAGACAAGCCTGGGCTACATGAGGCCCTGTCTCAAAAAGAAGAAAGAAAAATTAAGGTTGGGCCAGGCACACACCTTTAATCCCAGCACTCGGGAGGCAGAGGCAGACAGAGCTCTGTGAGTTCGAGGCCAGCCTGGTCTACAGAGTGAGTTCTAGGATCTCCAGGGCTACACAGAGAAACTATCTTGAAAAACAACAACAAAAAGTTAAGGTTTGACAGATAAATGGATAGCTCAGATGTGAGATAAATTAGAGCAAGATTTTCACAGGAGAATCCAGATATTGGGCGTATGGCAGGCTCTAGAATATTCTTTCAACTTTTCTATATGTTTAGAATTACTATTATTTTTTTTTCTAATCAAGGCTGGGTATGGTGGTGCACGCCTCTAATCCCAGCACTCGGGAGGCAGAGGAAGGTGGATCTCTGTGAGTCTGAGGCCAGCCTGGTCTATATAGAGACAGCCAGGGCTACATAGTGAAACCCTATTTCCAAAAAAGAAAAAACCAAACAAACCAAAAACTGAATGTGGGGGAGGGTATGCTAGGCCTCCTCTGAAGGCTGGAAAAGGAGGAAGTGTGTGTCACATTGCATCTGGATAGAGTGCTCCGCTGTGAGCCAAGAATTTTTTCTAGGCTCTGGGTTTAACTGTGGCGGTTATCCAGATCTCACGCACTTGTATGGTTGCAAATACCTCCATGAAGATCTTGGAATATCCCTTTCTGTTCTGTAAGTTCCTGTTGGGAATGCTGCCCTCCACCCTCGAGATACACAGGCCTTTCTCCTGGGGTCCCCAGAGTTGCCTGCCACCCAGCAACTAAAGAATTGCATTGCATGGCCACCCCAGCCAGGCATAGTGGCTCAGGCCTATAATCTCAAAGCTTGAAGTACAAAGATTGCCAAGAGTTTGGGGCCAGCCTGGTCTACAGAGCTAGTTCTAGGGCAGCCGGGGCTTCACAAAGAACACAAACCCTGTCTTGAAAAACAAAACAAAGATAGGCTTTTGGCATAGCTGGGGAACCTCTGAGGTCCATTCTGATCAGGCAAGATCTCTGAGCCAGATATAATAGAATTAAATTATTAGCCCTTGCCCTAGCTGGAGCAGCCTTGAGTCTTGTCTTCCTCCGAGCCAGAGGCCAGAGCATGTCTCACTGGTGCCTGGCAACATGAGGATTGTCCAGCCAGAGGACATGGTGTCTGCAGCCCCTACTGAAAGGGACAGGTGAGGATACCCAATGTCCTCAGGTCCATCTTTGACCTTTTGTCCCTGGGCTATCCCTGTCTCTTGGACCCCACGTCAATGGCCAGATTCTACTATGACCCTTGACCTCCTGGAACCTGTACATCCCAGGTTGGCTTGGCCACTAACAGATGGAGCAGGCAAGAACTCACTTGGGGTCCTCAGTACCCCAGAGCCACTTCTTCGACTGCAGAGGACACAGAGGGTGTGGCAGGTCCCAGAGCTGGATGCTCAGCATGCCAAGGCCTTTTTGGAGCTGTGGCCACTGGGGGTGAGTACTCACGGCTGGGGGGTCACTTCTGACCATCCCTGTTGCCAACTTGTGTCAGGTAGGAGACCGACACAATGCAAACTGGGCTAACCCAAAACTTAGGAAAAGGTTTATGTAGCCCAGGCTGGTCCCCAGCTCACTATGTAGCACTAGCTGACCTTGAATTTCTGATCCTCTTGACTTCTCATGCCCTGAATACTAAGATTACAGGGGTGTGTGTGTGTGTGTGTGTGTGTGTGTGTGTGTGTGTGTGTGTGTGTAAGAGAGAGACCACACCCAGCATATGCAGCGCTGGGGATTTAACCCAGTGCTTCATGCACTCAGGGCAGGCACTCTACCAACTGAGTTTAATCTCCTGGCCTGTTCTACAGGCATCACCAAACAGCTGTTTGTCTTCCCAACAGCAAGGCACCCGGCAGCTGGAGCCTGCAGCCCAGTGACATCAGGGCTGGCTCTTGGGCAGCTCTCTGAGCTCTCCTTGTCTTACCCGGGGTGGCCCAGGTCCACGCTATGTGCATCCCAGGCAGGAAGAAGAGAGGTGGCAGGTGCTTTTGTGCCTTTGACCTGACGCAGAACACATGGCAAGGGCCGGGCAGCCAAGCTTTAAAAGATCACCTGGGAGGGGGCTGGAGAGATGGCTCAGAGGTTAAGAGCACCGGCTGCTCTTCAAGAGGACCTGAGTTCAATTCCCAGCAACCACATGGTGGCTTACACACCTGCATCAAGCTGATTCTTGTCCTCACCCCTCCTCTCCAGAGCTTCCTGGTCATAGGACAAGATCCTAGCCAGGTCCCAGCTGGATAATCCTCATGTTGCCAGGCACCAGTGAGCCATGCTCTGGCCTCTGGCTCGGAGGAAGACAAGACTCAAGGCTGCTCCAGCTAGGGCAAGGACTAATAATTTAATTCTATTATATATCTGGCTCAGAGATCTTGCCTGATCCAATGATCCACAAGAGATCCAGTGCCCTCTTACCATCTGTAATGAGATCCAGGACCCTCTTCTGGCATGCAGGCAGAACACTATATACATAATAAATAAATAAATCTTTAAAAAAAAAAAAAAGATCACCTAGGAGTTATACAGTACAGCCAAGCCAGCACTGAGTACCTCTATGTCACTATGTAACCAGGTTACTCTTGAACCCACCATCCTCCTGCCTCAGCCTCCAGAGTGCTGCATTACAAGTGTGCACCACCAAGCCCAGATGTCCACCATTATTATTTCCTGTAGCTCAGATACTAACGCCTTGGACGAGACATTCCACAGGGTTGTGCCTGGTGGCACGTGCCTGTCATCTTACCATTAAGAAGTCTGATGCAGGAGGATCAGGAGTTCAAAGCCAGCCTGGATGACATTGAGTCCTTGTCAAAATATAACTGAATAAATAAATTCTCCAGGGAATACAGGATAAATTTGGAAAGGACAGCTAACAGGTTTGGCAGACCACAGCTGCCCCTCCTTGTAACGGTCAAGACGACCGTCAGTGCCATGTCCTGCCAGCTTCAGAGACCCGAGTGAAAGGTGTTTGGAATCAGGGGTGCGGCTCAGTGGCCGGCAGCATTCTTGCATAGTGAGCAAATGTCCCTGGGTTTAAGCACCCCCCCCCCCCCCCCCCCCCCCCCCCCCCCCGCCACAAGAATTCCCCACTTTTTCCAAAGTATTCCCTCAAGCTAAGTGTGTGGGATGGGAGACTGAAGGAGGGGAGTTTGAGGCTAACCTGGGCTATGTAGTGAGACCCTTTTGGAGAAAAAAGGGAAGAAAAGAAAACAATACTGGGGATGTAGCTCAGCAAAGAACCTGGGTTCAATCCTGAGTGAGCGAGAGAGGAGAGAGAAAGAGAGAGAGAGAGAGAGAGAGAGAGAGAGAGAGAGAGAGAGAGAGACCACAAACAAAATAAATAAACAAACAACAAAACTCAAAGATCTCCAGGAAAAATCCCATGGCAGATGTTCATTAGTCACGCTTAGGCAGTTGCCCATCCTTGAACCGAACAGTGGTCAGACAGAAGCCCATCCTATTGGCTAGTTCTAGATCTGGCCCCACCCGCTAGGGTCCCATCCACAGGCACTAGGAATAGAGAGAGGCTTTCCTAAAGCAGTCAATGGTTCTCAACATGTGGGTCACGTCCCCTTCAGGAGGACCCATATCAGATATCCTGTGTATCAGATATTTATAATTCATAACAGTAGCAAAATTACAGTTATGAAGTAGCAACAAAAATAATTTTATGGTTGGGATCACCACAACGTGAGGAACTGTATTAAGGGTCACAGCATTAGGAAGGCTGAGAACCACTGGTTTAAAGGGAAGTGGCCCCAAGCAGGCAAAAAGAAATTGCATATACCTGCATCAAGCTGATTCTTGCCCTCGCCCCTCTCTCCAGAGCTTCCTGGTCATAGGACAAGATCCTAGCCAGGTCCTGATGCTGAAGACAGGGCCTTCATCAGGAGACGTCAACACCTATCCAATTCACAAGTTTGCTGGAGGTGAGGTACCTATTCCTAGGTTTCCAGTCCACATTGCAAATGGATCAAGAACTCTCAGCTTTGATCCCCAATATCTCTTGACTCTCCCCAATACCACCTGCATCCATCACGTGGTCTGAGCTGGCCCATTCCTTCTTGCCCAGACCATTGCAGTGGCCATCTCTCAGGTGCCTTTGTGCCTACCCTTTCCTTACAATCCATGCTGAGCACAGCCAACACAGTTCTCACACATAGACTACATGTTGTCCATCCCTTCCCCAAACCTGGAGAGGCTTGGTAACATCCTCACATACAGAGTTAGGTGGTCACCATGAGCCGCAGCATGCTTGATCTCACATGCTTCTGGCCCTCCCTCCCTCACTGCTCAGACCTGGGGCTCTCTTCTCTGCTCCTGCTAACCCAGCTACAGCGTGTTGCTCTTGTTCTTCCTGCATCAGCCTCCCTCCTTGAGTGGTTGGTTGACACAGGCTACAGCCGTGAGGGCCTCCGTAAAAAGGTATCAAGAGTGCAAGGTCTGCCAGGGCTGGAGAGATGGGTCCTGGTTAAGAGGACTGGCTGCTCTTCCAGAGGTCCTCATGTCAGAGGTTCAAACCCACCTGTAACTCCAGTCCCAGGAATCCAATGCCCTCTTCTGGCCTCTGTGGGCACTGCATGCATGTAGTACACGTGCATGCAAAACACCCACACATAGAAATAAATTTAAAAATAGAAATTAAAATTTCTTTCCCCCTTTTTCTCTTTCTTTCTTTCTTTTTTTTTTTCAAGACAGGGTTTCTCCATGTAGTTTTTGGTGCCTGTCCTGGATCTCGCTCTGTAGACCAGGCTGGCATCGAACTCACTGCCTCCCAAGTGCTGTGATCAAAGGCATGCACTGCCGCCGCCGCCGCCAGGCAGAAATTTAAATTAAAAAAAAAAAAGTTCCATTCTAGTTTGGGCTACATAACAAGGTCAAAAATGGCTTGGGTTACATAGCAAGACCCTGTCTAAAAATAAAATAAAATAGAACAAAATTAAGAAATGTAAGCCTGGCATGGTGGTTCAGGACTATAATCTCGGGGAGAAAGATTGCTACAAGTTTTGAGGCCAACCTGGTCTATATAGTGAATTCCAAGCCAGCCAAGGCTACAGTGAGACCCCGCTCCAACAAAACAAAAAATAGTGAAGAAATTTTTGATGACTTCCATTTGGTGTCAGAGCTGAGATGCAACATCGGGAAAGGAGATGTCAACTCCCAGGGGTGGAAAACTTTCCTTCTCTGAGGGAGGAATATAAGAATAGAGATCCCATGCCAAGAGGTGGGGGGGGGGGGGGGTTGGGCCACAGGGTAGGGTGGAGGAGGCCAGTGGCCACCCTGTAACTTCGCTTTCTCGTCTCTTCCCAGGTGTGTCCCTGGAATCCTCCAACCTCTGCATGCCAGACTTTCCCCATCTCCTGGCCTTCCTGTCAGCCAGCAGGTACAGGTGCCCTGGCGGAGTGGCAATGGGGGCCCTTCCCGGAGATACCCCATCCAGACTGAGGTCTCCCTTTTTCCTCAGGGACGTTTTGCCAAGGACACTGCTCTTGCCCACTCCACCTAAAGGGCCAGGAGACAAGGACACAGGTGAGGCACACTGCTCCAGGGGAGGGAGAGGTCAACTTGCTGGTCTCTTTGGTCCAGAGAGACTGGATCTAAATTAGGACCAGATAACTGGGTTTGAGAGAGGTGAAGCTGGGCTTGGGGCAAGTGTGAAAAGAAGCTGTGGTGGGCCGGGCAGTGATGGGTGCACGCCTTTAATCCCAGCGCTCGCTCGGGAGGCAGAGGCAAGTGGGTCTCTGTGAGTTCGAGGCCAGCCTGGTCTAGAGAGCGAGTTCCAGGACAGCCAGGGCTACACAGAGAAACCCTGTCTGGAAAATAAGAAGATGAAGGAGGAGGAGGAGGAGCAGGAGGAGGAGGAGGGGAGGAAGAAGAAGAAGAAGAAGAAGAAGAAGCAGCAGCAGCAGCCGCTGTAGCAGTAGGGGGGATGAGACCATCTCCGGGTCCTGATACAGCTTGAGGACCTGCGAGCTGGGACTGCATTCTTGGTCCTGAGTGAGCAAGGCTGGCGATGAAGCCTCCTGGTTGCCCCCTGCACACCTGGGACACCTTGTCTCTTCTGCTGGCTCTCAGATCCTGTGCGACTTGGCTGCATCCAGGTCAACACCTCAGGGAGGGTGCTGTCTGTAGTGAACCAGCTCTACCTGGAGACGCATGGAGGCTGGGGCACAGAGCAAGCTCCACAGCAAACAGAGCCAGAGACTGACCAGAAATACAGTCCAGGTCAGCTGGGCGGGGCCTGGGTACCCTGAGGGATGAGGGAATGGATGCCGCTCTAGCAAGGGACCCAACCTACTTCTCACATTCAGCCCCTAGGAAGCCCACCCCACATCGGGTCTCCTGGGTGGAAGACCCACTGAAACCGGAAGTGCACCACACTGGACAGGAAGTGCATCATCCTGGACCAGACACTCACCACCTTGAAGTGGCCTTGTACCGTCCTGGAGCAGAAGTGTCCTTTCCTAGGCCTGCTCTAGTTAGTGTGGTGGAGGAGCAGGAGGAAGTGGGCAGTGACAAGTCCAGAGATGAAGAGGAAGGCCGCGAGGACCTGCTCACTGACCATATCCGTGCTCTGGCCAGGGCCCGGAGCAGCTATGTAGCCCGGCAGTACCGATGCCTTCGGGCACGCCTCACCTCAAATTCTGGAAATCCCTACAGGCCCGGGGACCCGGCCACGGAGCTGCTTCAGGATGTGCGCCAGCTCCTCACTGATCTCCAGAATTACCTGGCAAAGGACCCCGACGTCAGAGCTGTCTTTGGGAACAGGGAACCTAGGGTCCCTCGGGACGAAGATCTTGGTAATGAGAACTGGAGGGAAACTTCCCAAGGGTTTGGGGATACCATGACTCGGCCCAGTATGTGTTCACATCCGACTTCTCATTCCCCATGGGCAAACACACCCTTACTTCATATAACTACTGCATCATAGCTCCACTTAACACATGCATTGCCGGCCAGACTCTCCCATCCTTGGAGTATTCACACGCCCCCACGCCCCTACTTCCATCCTCACTTGTAGGTGACCTGGAGCAGGAGACAGGGTGAGTAGGGATCAGGGTGGGTCACGGTGGCATTGTCCTCACATGCCACACACCCCGCAGGCTCCGCTGTGGAAGTGGCCCTCTGTCGGGCAGTTCTGGAGCCCCTGAAGCCGGCCCTGTGGACCAAACTCCGAACTCTCAGAGCCCAGGAACTGCGGCTGCTGCGCCGGCGCCAAATAGTCTTGCGGGCGGGGGCAGGGCCCGAGGGACAGCACCCTGCCCCAGCCTTGCGCAGCCGGATCCACGCGCGCCTCGCGCACCTGCACGCCGCGTGCGTCCCGCGCCGCAAGGTGGCGCTGCTGCTGGCGGTATGCAGCGACGTCTACGCCGGCCTGGCCGGTGGCGAGAATCGAGGTAAAGAACCTCTGGAGGTAGACTGGGTTAATGGTGGGTACCCATATCCAAGGGAAGGGTAGCCCATTCTGGTGGCCAGTGCCCACTCAGGCCTGGGGACCCGAAGGAAGGTGTGTGTGCCTCCCCCTACCGAGCTCACGACCTGTCCTCGGACTTCCTTAGAGCCCCTAGGGGCCGACGCCTTTTTGCCGGCCCTGACCGAGGAGCTGATCTGGAGTCCACACATAGGGGAGACGCAGCTGGACGTGGAGTTTCTTATGGAGCTCTTGGATCCAGAGGAGCTGCGGGGAGAAGGTGAGCTCCCACCTCCAGTATGCCCAGACACTGAGAAGGGGGGCACCCTCGGTAAGCCCCATCTTCCTATGCCTCAGAAGGGGAGATGGGCATTCAGAGAAGCCCAGAGGGCCATGATGATCTCGCCTTCTCTCCCCTAGCTGGCTATTATCTTACCACGTGGTTTGGGGCTCTTTATCACATTGCTCACTACCAGCCCGACTCTGGCCGTGCACCCCAGGGGCTCAGCTCAGAGGCCCGGGCCTCCCTGCGCCAGTGGCACCGAAGGCGGACGCTGCACCAGCAAGCCCTGCCCACAGCCCAGGTGACCACCTGTGCGGGATCCAGGTCAAAGGGAAGGTGGGATCTGTTGCCCCTCTGACACAGCCTCCCGTCTCTCCCCACAGGCGAAGCTGCCCTTTGAGGAGCCATGGGCAGTAGAGGACCAGTGATGATTGGAGTCCTCAAACCCCGGTCACTTCTGGGCTTTTGGCTCACTCCTCTGCTAAGCAAGATGCTGGAGGCATCTGGGACAGCCGGAGGGTGGGGCAGGGAAAGGGACGGGCTTATTGCCTAACAGCTGTACACCCCTCCTTTCCTTCCTCCCCTCCTCTGGTCTGCCTCAAGGAGGCTCTCTCCAGCAAACACAACCCCCCAAAACAGTGCTAAAACTACAACCCTCTCACCTGAACCCCTTTGGGGCAGGTGAAATAAAAGCACGGTCCCCCAAAGATGTCTGCATCTATGACACTTCACCAGGTCAAGAGATCTTTATAAAAATGATAGCATGTCTGGACCTAAAGTGGGAGCTTATTCTGGATTCTTCTGTGCCCTAAGTCGTTAAGAGGGTGGCAGAGGTATGGGGATGTCATGAGCCTATGCCCTCAGCTTCTCTGGAGAATGGGGTGGGAGGATTACTTGAGGCCAAGACCACGAGGACACTGTGGCATTGAAACATATTAGATGTTCAGGACAGTGGCATTGAAATATAGTAGAGTTCAGGAAACAATGGGATAGGTTTTCCATCAGCCTTGAAAACAGGAATCTCTGTGACCCATCAATGTTACCTTATTTGGCATAAGTGTTTGTGCAGCCATTATTATTATTATTATAGTGTTTTGTTTTGTTTTTTGAAGACAGAGTTTCTCTGTGTGGCCCTAGCTGTCCTGAAACTCGCTCTGTAGCCCAGGCTGGCCTTGAACTCACAGAGATCCGCCTGCCTCTGCCTCCCGAGGGCTGGGACTAAAGGCGTGCGCCACCCCCACAAACGAGCTTGTGCAGCACCAGCAAAGGCTTCTCCCCTCAGAGCTCCAGAAGTCATGTGACCCAGATGACACCCTGGTTTCTGGCTGAGATAGTGATGTCAGAACTCTGACCCCAGAACGATGAGCAAATAAATTCCTGCTATCTTAAGACACCAAGGTGATAATGGTAATAATACATTTTTTAAATGCATTTCCTGGGGGGCTGGAGAGATGACTCAGAGGTTAAGAGCACTGACTACTACTCTTCCAGAGGTCCTGAGTTCAATTCCCAGCACCCACATGGTGGCTCCCAACCACCTGTAATGAGATCTGGCGCCCTCTTCTGGCCTGCAAGGACACATGCAGACAGAATACTGTATACCTAATAAATAAACCTTTTGTAAAAAATTTATTTTCTGGGAATGGTGGTGCAGGCCTGTAATCCCACCACTTGGGAGGGAGAAGTAGGAAGACCAGGAGATTGAGGCCAGCCTGGGCTACCTGAGGCCCTGCTGGACTCAGTAATAGTGTTCGTACCTAGAGTTTCCAGTGAAGGGCTGTGGGTGCGGCTCAGTATAACAACTTCGCTATTCACCATCGTGGAGCTACGGCTTGGCCTGTTTGTCTTGCTTGTTTGAGGCTCTAGGTTTTATCACCAGCAAAACACCCCCCCCCCCCCCCCCCCACACACACACACACACACACAATGTTAAGTGAAGACTGGGGAGATGTCTCAGCAGTTAAGAGCACTGACTGCTCTGCTCTTCCAGAGAACCAGGATTCAATTCCCAGCACCCACATGGCAGCCCAAAACCCTCTGTAACCCCACTTCTAGTGGATCTAAGACCCTCCTCTGGCTCCACAATATCAGACACACATGTGGTGCATGCAGGCCAACCACCCACACACATAAAAGTTTTAACTATTTTTAAAATGTAAGTGAAGGCATCGGAAATTAGGGAATGTACATACTAAGTTGATAAACATATCTGTGTGTTTCCCTGAGTTATGTGAACCTTCCTAACCAATCAGTTAACACCAGGGAGAGCCCACAGGAATCGAAAAGCCCATTGGCCAGAAGGAGCGATTGTAACCTGAAACTCAAGACTGGCCCTGAGGCAGCAGAGGTGGGCGCTATCCTGCGTATCCAAGCCAACTCCCTGTGGGGTCTGAGGCTATCTCCAGGTCATGTCAGGATGGAGTTAAATTATAGGACACCCATCTTTATTGGCTGTGGAATTTCTTGATGTCTGTGTGGGAAACCTCCACATATCTGGTGTCAGAGTGTGTGAATTGTGTGGGAGTGGGAAATGTGTGGTTCTCAGGTTTTACACAAAAATGAGAACATCTTCATGCAGATTGGACAACGATGTATGAAATGGTAGCAGAAGAGAAGACAGCCAAAGAAAAATCAAGTGGACTGCACCCGGATTCGTTACTGATGCCTGTGATAACACACCATGACCAAAAGCGATGTGAGGAAGAAAGAACTTATTTTGGTTGACGGTTCTAGATGATTACAGAATAGTGGGGGAGGCATGGCATCAGGCAGCCAGAGAAGGAAGCTGGGAGATCATATCTAACCCACAGAAGGCACAGAGAACTGGAAGTAGGGGTCAGGCTGTAAAGCCTCAAGTCCTTCTCCCAACAAGGCTCTGCCTCCTAAAGGGTCCAAAACCTTCCCAAACAGTGCCACCAACCAGGAGCCAAGTGTTCAAATACCCGAGCCTATGGGGGACTGTTGTATACAGGGTGTAGGTGCAGGTTCACGTGGGTCTGTGGAAAGAAGTACAGAGGTAACTCAAGGATGAACTTTCGCCGAGCAAAAGGCCCCTTTATTGTTACACACATCACACCTTTAACAAGTCAATTCCATATACCAAAGTCTTTGATCTAAGCCCCCCAGAGAACCAAATGCAAATTCTCAGTAATAACACCACAGTTTTCTGGGCTGTTGTTACTAAGTTTGCACTTAGGCTTTGATCCCCTAGGAAAGCTCTCAGCTAAGACTTCAAACAGAAGGCACAGAGATGGGTAACAATCACAAAAGCCAGATCAAAGCCAGGTGCTAACACTCCAGAGTCAAACCAGGTGTAGCTATGTGGGAATTCTTCCATCAGGGGACATTCCTCATCAAACCACCATGACATCAATATTTAAAACTTCTAAAGATACACAGGGCGGTGTTGGTGCACATCTTTAATCCCGGCACTCAGGAGGCAGAGGCAGGCGGACCTCCATGAGTTTGAGGCCAGCCTGGTCTACAGAGCGAGTTCCAGGACAACCAGGACTGTTAAATGGAGAAACCTTGTCTTACAAATACAACCAACCAACCAAACAAAAAATTCTAAAGATGCATGTCTATCATCCACTGCATTATTTAGAAAGCTGAGGCAGGAGGATTCCCTCAAGTTCTAAGCTAGCCTGGGCTACATAGTAAAAACCGTGTCTTCAAAACCAAACTAGACTGGGGAGATGGCCCAGTGGGTAAAGTGCAGGTCCTTGGTATGGCAACAGGTGCTTATAACCCCCCATGCTTAGGTAGAGACAGACAGATATTGGGGGGCTGAGACTGTCACTGGCCTGCCAGTCTAGCCAAAACAGCAAGCTTAAGTTCAGTGAGAGATCCTGTCTTAAAAAACAATGTGGGGGCTGGGGAGATGGCTCGGTGGTTAAGAGCACTGGCTGTTCTTCCAAAGGACCCAGCCCCCACATGGCAGCTCATAACTGTCTGTAACTCCAGTTCCAAGGGATATGGTACCCTCACAGACATACATGTAGGCAAAACACCAATGCACATGAGATAAAAATAATAATGAAAAAAAAAAAAAACCAACGTGGAAACTAGAGAGATGGCTCAGTGGTTAAGAGCATTCTGCTGCTCTTGCAGAGGACCTGAGTTCAATTCCCAGCACCCACATAGCAGCTCACAACTGTAATTGCAGTTCCAGGGAGTCTTACACCCTCTTCTGACCTCCATGGGCACCAGGCACACGTGTGGTACACATTTATACATGGAAGCAAAACACTCTCACAAAAATGATTAATTAAATGTGGTGCTAGCAAAAAACAGTGGGTAAAGATCTCTGCTGCCATGCCTGACTTGCGTGTGAAGCCTGGAGCCCATGTGGTGGAAGGAGAGAATCAGCTCCTGGTTCTCATGCCTTCACATCTGTGCCCACACATGAGGCTAGCAGGTGAACATACATAAACACACACACACAAATGTAAATAAAGGAGAAAAACTATTGCAGAGCACACCAATGTGAACCTGCACAGCACACACATGTGCACACAGATGTACACCAGAAAGAGACAGAGACAGCACAATGTAAACGGTCATGTGGTACAAACCTGTAATCGCAAACCTTGAAAGGCTGAGGCAGGGGGCCAGTTTGGGGTCACACAGCACAACCCTGACTCAATAAAACAAACAAAACAAAGCAAATGTGAATGTGCATGTTTATGGTTTTCCCTACAATTCCTGAATCATGACCCTGACTTACTTCCTAGTAGGTCAGGATGGTCAGGAGAAACTGAGAGTAATAAATTGAGGTTACAAAGGATTCACCAATAGACTTGCTTAGGAAATTCTAAGTCGCACAAGGTCGGATTCACTCACAGCAGTGCTGCCCCTAATATGGCTCGGAGATAAGCAGAGGACTGATCAGACTTGTCAGACTGTAGGGGAAATGTCATACCGCGAACATAATTGCAGTTGGGGCTTGCTGAGAAAATGTTTCTGTTGAGATCTGTCCACTAAGATTGCTGCCTATTAGGCTCCATTCCCATATCAAAGCACACACCTCGGCCTGGCAGTTCAAAGGGATGGCACTGGCCAGCAGCCACCACTGAATTCTAGTCTGCCATTAAGTCCTGGTTCTCTTATTGGGATGAGGTAATGATTCTGCCAGGTAGGCAGGATGGCCCTGGGTAATATTAGCCAACCCAAAAAGAACGATACTGGTATATTTTGAAAGTAATTGTGACCATAACTTTGCTGTGTACATTTCCCAATTGCTGAAAATGGCCAGGTTTACACTCTTTTCCCTGTTTAATTGTTTGGCTTTAACTTGGGGCTGGGACCTCATGACATGTACAGATGAACAGTGGTGTATGTGGAATGTTAAAGTCTAAATCTTATGTAATTCCTACTAACGTCCGTTTGTGGCTGGTTTTGGACTACTAAAGAATTTTTTCCTTATTCCCTGAGCGTTTGGAGTGAATTCTCACTGGGAGAACTTAACCCTGCGTCCCCACACATCCTGTCCTTTGCCCTGGCGAAAGGAATGCTGCCGGGGAGGCCGGGAGAATCTGAACCAACAGGTTTTTCTGGGTTTCCCCACCCCATCGTTAGCAATCCTGCCTGTGCGGCCTCCATAAAACCTCAAAAGGACAGGGCTGGGAGAGCGTCCAAACAGCCGAACTTCCTGGGGGGGGCGGGGGCTCAGCAGCAGTCCACTTGCCTGGCAGGTACCTTGCATTAGGGTCAATCATCAATAACACACACACACACACACACACACACACACACACCCCAAATGGCCAACTATACCACACAGAGAGTGTGGAAGCCACAGTTGCTCAACAAATTTAACCAGCTTGGAAGGTGGTGGTAGTATATTCTGGTAGTTTTAACTGTCAGTTTGACACAACCCAGATCCCCTGAGAAAGTGGTCTCACCTGAGGTGAGATTAGATCAGTCTGTGCGCACGACTAGGGATTATTTTGTCAAGAGGCCACCATTCCCTAGGCAGGTGGCCCAGGGCGCTATAACAAAGCCGGCTAAGCAAGAGCCCAAACGAGCCAGCTGGCAGCAATCTCCCACGGTCTCTGCTCGAGTTCCCGCTCTGACGTCCCTCGTGATGGGCGATGACCTGGTGAAATGAACTCTTTCCGCCTAGTTGCTTTACTGGAATGCTTTATGGCAGCAGCGGAGAGGAAAAGAGAACAGATGGGACCCCTGATTTCTAGCCTGACCTCGCCATTTTTGTATCGCTCTCGCTAAAATATCCAACAAGTCCAGCTTAAAGAAGGAAGGACGGACCTGGGCTCAGGACTGTGGAGCGGTCCACCCCAGCGTGGCCAGAAGGCATGGAGGAGCCACTCAGTTCTTGGAGGTGCAAGTGTGTAGCGGAGGCTGCTCACACATCATGGACCAGGGAGCAGGGAGCAAGATAGGAACCTGGGCGGAGTCTGGCTTTCAGAAGCCTGCCCCCAGTGACCCATTTCCTTCAGGGAGGCCTCAGCTTCCACAGCGTCCCCAAGTAGCGTCCACCAGCCAGAGCACGAGGGCTCCATGACAGGAACTAACAGGGGACATTGCAGATTGAAGTGGTAGCATAGGTAATCCACCAGAAGCACAGAAGCCACAAGTGTGGCTTGTCACCGACTGGCATCTAAAGTGGGG